TGAGAATCTTGTGAATCTTAATAGATGACCCACTTTGGCAATACCACCCACATTAATTTACAAACTCTCACTAGAACACTTACCCAATATAACATTTTAGAATCTTTCTAAAAAACTAATGAATCTCAATAGATGACCTACTTTGGTAGTACCATTGATATCAACTCACAAGCTCCCAATGAAACAATTGCCTATAAATAATATAACATTCTATAATTCTTACGGAGAGATAATCAAATCTTTTATTGGAACAAAATTTCTTAATATTTCAAAATATTTAGTGATAAAAACCATTAATCCTAATAAATGAACCATTGATATTGTTCACATTAATCATAAAACCTTATTAGGACTAACATCTATATATATGTGATTCTATAATAATCCCTCTCAACAATATTTTTGTGATGTCCCAATCCTTATCTACAATTAGCAAAAAAAAATAGGTCATTAATTAATTGAGTCTAAAGTTGGAGTCCTTCATTTCATATAGAATTATGGACTAATCTATAGCAATTGTTAGTTATGGGATTGCATGTTGTTTTAACAAACTGTAGTCCAAGTGTTTATCTTAAAGAGAGTTTAGTGGAGTCTAACTGTTTATAACCTGTTAGAATTAGTGAAAGGTGTTTTGACAAGAAGTGGGCCAAGTGGAGAGCAATTAAAACCCACTTGACTAGAGGTTTTTGAGCCCTATAACTAAACTAGTCATTTTTCTGCATTTTTCCTTCTAGCTGGACCAAAAGGGAAGGAGAAAAAGGTGTAGAAATACTAGATAGACTTGTAGATTCTTAAAGAAACTCTATCAAGCCTAGAATTTTGAACAAGTGTGTGGAGTAAGTGTGATTCTTAACTTTAAGCTTAGCTTGTCAAACATAAAAAGAAGGAATAGATATAAGATAGATAGAGTATACAACATGGAGATTGCAATAAGTAAAGAAAGTATGATTTAATTAGAATAACTTGCACTAGAGCCAATTTCTTAGTGAAATTAATTGTGGGGACAATAAGAATGAGATTTACACTAGACTACTAAGGTCTGAAACTAAGATTTACTATATTTTAATGAGTTAAATTTGGAAATTTTCATGCTATGCATGTTTTCTTTGTGGTTCTACAGACTACATTAATTGTTGAACATGTGATGCATGTTTCTATATGGTATATATATATTTTGTGGTATAATTTCTTTAGAATTATGGAGAGTTTGGACCCTAGCTTAGGCTTGGGGGTTAGAATAATGAACTAGTGGACCTCTATGTAGTAGGTAAGTGCTATGACTAACTCTGGCATCTAATTTGAGTGCATGCACATCCAATGAACTCTATAGTCAATGTTAATTTGTTTGATGTGCTATGTTGTGTGATTGTTCTATAGCCAATTGTCTAAATTTTCAATAAAACTAGTACCATTAGAAACTAATGATACTTTTCTATATAATGAACTAAGTAAAGATTATCAGCTCAACTTATAGTTAAGAAGTATGCTTACTTGGTCTCATGGAGTTTATTCCATCATTTCAAATATTAGTAGTTAGGAGTAGCTACTGTTTCCTAGGACTTTTGGTGGATGTCCTATGCTGACAGTGAGTATAGTGCATTCAAGTAGTTAGTAAGATAAACCTATATTTGTCCAAAACTATGGTTGGCTTTGTAAATTTTCAATCTATTTTGTACTAACATTGAGCCTATGAATTATATATAAAATAAGCCTTTTGATCCTATATATATATAATATTTTTATCTTGTGCACTCTAAAATTTCTCTCCAATAGCCACACCAATGCTATGCTGCCACTTTATTGCATTTGATTTTAACTTTAAAATGACACAATTTTGAATCTACCTATTTCAAGAGAGCATTTGAAATAATATTTTGTGCAAGACATTTCTCAACTTGATAAACTAAAGGTTTACCAAAAGAGGGATGTTATAATTTTTTTATAATCTTTAATAATTTTAATATATAAATTGAGAAAATTTTAAAGCTTTCAGAAAGACCTTCAACACTAATTGATTCCATTACTTTAATATTTAAAGAAAATCATATGAACTCTTTATCAGTATCTTAGATATATCGATATACATAAATACTAAAATTTTTAGAACTTTATTAAATATCTTTTTTCTAAGATTTTAAAATTTCATACACTGGTACAATGACTATCACTAATATGCATAATAAATGTGCATGATTATCTTTTGAAAGTAATTAATTGCTAACAAAATCTGTTATATACTCAATAATTTAACCTTAAATTATATATCGTGAGTTATGCCCAAACTTTAATTCTATAAAACCTCTTTAGAGATATAGTGTCATAACTCAAATTTTTATCCAAAAAATATATATATATATATATAAATATGAATTTTTCCCCTTTTATTTAACTAAGCTATCTATATTTTTATTTTTGTTTCAGGGACTACATGCAAAAAGGAAATTTTACGAAGAAGATTGGAAAAGAAGAAGAAAGAAAAGACTCAATTGAAGAAATCAAAAGTTGGGGGACGAAATCTGTTAAGCTAAATCTAGCCCATTAAAACCAAAACTCACCCCAAAACCCAAACTCAAACCCAAACCCATTTAACCTAAACAAAAAAAAAAAAAAAAACAAAAAAACAAAAAGGGGAAATGAAAAAAATGGATCCGGAACCTTCTTCCTCCTGACGCGACTTGCTCCTTTTCCTACCCTCCCCAAAACCAGCCAACAGCTTC